TTTCATTAATCGTGCTAATAATCATGTGATGAGTACATTTAGTAGACATTTATATTCTTTAGCACTGGAAAGTTAACTTGTATGATTTTGATGGTTGTTTCTGTTCTGTTTTCTCTTTCTTGTATTTTTATTGGTCAGATTTGGACCTTTTGGATTGAGCCTCTGAAAATGATTTTGTTTTTATATTTTAAAAATGCAGTTATTTCAAAAAAATTTTTAATCTTTTTTTGTCAGGTAGTAGAATAGCAGTAGTTTGCTTACATTTTGCCTGTCTTTTAGGGGAGAAGCAGGCATCTGGAATGTTTTTAAAAGGTAAATGAGTAAAGGTGAGCTTGTCTGCTTTTAAAAAGCAAGTTTCATGCCAGATAGACTAAATTTTTTCCTAATCTAAAATAGGTACTATTATAAAACTTGTGATTTGCCACTTTTTAGATAAGCATGTATATAGTTCAGTCTAAAATGACCTACTTCCAAATCTGTTCCAAAAAAGAATCATAGTATTTTATAGTTGAAACTGACATCATGATCTAGTTTTTCAAAGTAACATGTAGTAACTGAGTCCTTGAGAGTATCTGACTTATTGACAGCCAGATAAGATAGTAGAGCTTGAGTAAGAACCCAAATGCCCTGACTTTTCTATTCTCATTATTTCCTAGAAACTCCACTTTTGTTTTAGTTATAGGTTTTCCCAAAGTGGTCAACCATAATCTCAGCAAATAATTTTATTTTCTGACTGTCAAACAGATTAGTCTGTGATCACTTGCCTTATTTCTAAAGTAACTCTTTTCTTTCCTCTTTGGCTTTCCTCTGACACTTTAGGTGTGGAGGTGAATGCCTCAGCTGTTTGCAGTTAGCCTATACATAGCTCACCTAGGCAGATGACGCAGCAACTTCACTATTTTAAAGGTGCTGTATTTTTGAGAATTGAAGCCGGTATACATTAAACTATTAAAAGGAACACTTTTAAGTGTTTTAGGATTCTTTGACTTCAGGTGACAAAAACTCAGTTTGAACAAACTTAACAATAATGTGAATTTACTAGTTATTAATTAAATGATGTAAAAAAGCAGGAATGACCAGGATCGAGGTCTCTGTCTGTCTGTCTGTCTGTCTCTCATTTCTACATCTTTCTGCATTCTGGCTTCATCCTTCCATATTAGCATACTCCATGCACTGTGAGACATCCTTACATGTGTTTCAGACCTCATGTATCTGAGATAAGAGAAAAAGAAAGTTCTCCCTTTTGGAATTAGTTTGAAAAATCGAGGGAGGTTTCTGTGTCGTGGTCCTGTTTCTTGAACAAACTCACTCTGACCTAGACTGGGCAAAAGGATTGGAGTTGGCCTTGTATAAGTCAGATGCTGGGTATGTGGTGGGAAAGAGTTGTTTTTTTCCCCTTTTTAATCAAGATGAAGGAATATTTCTTAGACAAAAATGTGATCCAGTATATTAGGTGAAATAAAGGTTTTTATAAAGATCACCTTCAGTCTTTTTACATATGCCTTTATATTTCCCTCAGTTATACATGAATTTATAATGTTTTTGAATTCCCAAGTTGGTACATGAATTTTGTCTTAACTACATTTTCACTTAATTTTGTATGAGTGACATCTTAATTTTATCAGTGAAGCATCTCCAAATCACATCTGTGATGGAAAACCGTGTTGGGAAGGTTCTTCTAGCAGTCTTGTCTCATTTATAATTGTTTCATAATAAAGATCGTAAGGAGTTTGTTTTCAATCTTAAGTTTCTGCCTATTTCTTTTCTTGCATTGAGAAGTGGTGGTGGTGGGGGGGGCATAGACAGGCAGCTTCCTAACTTGGGTTTTTATCCTGTATCCACAGAAAAATTTTAGAATGTTCTGCCTGCAGTTTCTCTCATTTGTAGAATCCTCAAAGATTCTAAATTGTACTTTGCTTTCTCTGAAAGAATTACTATTTTTCATCCACGTAGTTAAAATAATATATAGACTATAGTCTAAAATATGTGTGTGTGTGTATACACATATCTATATATATTTTGACACTATCTTTTATATACATATAAAGGTAGGTATTTAGAAATTGAAGCAATTTTACACTACAGCAGTTGTCAGTTTGCTGTGCAGTCTCTTTAGCTTGTGTTAGGATTTTAAGAAAACTTTTAAATGATTTGCATTACTTTGTAAGGTCATGAATGACAAACGTTTTAGGTTCACAACAAAATCGAAATGAAAGTACAGAAGTTTCAACATTCCCATCAGGGTGGTATATTTGTTACAATTGATTAACCTCCGTTAACACATCATTGTCACCCAAAGCCCACAGTTTACTTTAGGGTCCACTTTTGGTGTGTACACTCCATGGATTTTGACAAATGTATAATGAAATGCATTCTTCATTATGATATCCTATAGAATTATTTTTACTGACCTAAAAATCTCCTGTAGTCCACCTATTTATCCTTCCCCGGACCAGTTTTTTACTGTCTCCATGGTCTTGCTTTATCCAGAATGTCGTGTCGTTGCACTTAACATAGTGTGTAGTCTTTTCAGATTGGCTTCTTTCACTTAGTGATAGACATTTAAGGTTCCTCCATGTCTTTTCATGGCTTGATAACTCATTTCTTTTCTTTAATATTTTATTTATTTTTCTTTTGACAGGGGAAGGGAGGGAGAACGATAGGTAGAGAAACATCTCTGTGTAGTTGCCTCTCATGCGCCTCCTACTGGGGACCTGACCTGCAACCCAGGCACGTGCCCTAGACTGGGAATCAAACCGGTGACCCTTTGATTCGCAGGCTGGCACTCAGTCCGCTGAGCCACACCAGCTAGGGCATAACTCGTTTCTTTTTACTGTTGAATAGTATTCCATTGTATGATATATACTGTCACCTACTGAGAGCATCTTGGTTGTTTCCAGGTTTTGGCAATTATGAATTAAGCAGCTGTAAACAGTCATGTGGACATAAATTCAGAATATTTCTCTATCTTATTTAATACAGAAGAATTATGCCCTAAACACCTGCTTCATGGTGACCTACATCAATGTTTTAAGTCTTTATACATTTTATGTTATGGGAAAAGTAAATATACGTGAAATCCACCTCTCATATCTTTGATGTGGCAACAGTCAGCCATAAGATTTCACATATACACTAGGAATAAAGACATAGTATGAAGTGATTTAATATTAATATTATATTTGCTTTTCAGTCAGTCTTAAGTATTGTCAATATAAGAAAGGATACATTGAAAATAATTACATCTATCCAGATATTCATCCCCTTGATCCTTTGAAGCATACTAATAAATTGTTTTAATTTTGGATTATTCTCTATAATACTCTGATTTAGAATAATATCTAGAAAGTGTTAATGAGTTACCATTTTCTACTGTGAATTTAAGAAAAGTTACTGATTTTTTTCTGGTGTGTTCAGCTTTTTACCTGTTAGGATGGAGTGGTGACTTCCCAGCTCCCTGTATACATAACCAGACTCTGGAAGTCTGTATGGTGTTTTATTTATCTTCAATCAAATTCAGTTTTAACTCTGTTTTTAAGTCAAGTGTTGATAAGACTGAGATTATTGAGGATCATAATAGAGTAGATAAAAAGCTAATAGAGTGATGCTTAACTCTTTTCAAATTAAATGATATTATTTGATCGTTTTGTTAACTGTTGCTTCTTCAGTTTTTCTCCCCCTGGAAAAACTTACTCTGTAGGGTTGTTGATTCTGACCCCTAAAGTGTGTGGGAAAGATGAAACTGGGACATGGTGGACTTTGAATAGTTAATAACCATTCAAAGAGATACTGACAGTTGTTACATATAATGATTTGTAGTTTTAGAAAGTAATTTTATATTCACTATCTTATTTGAGTTTCACAGCTACTTAGAGTGATTGATACAGAGGTTTGTTTGCTCTGCTTTGTAATTGAGAAATTGAGAAACTGTCTCTTGTACAGGTTAGCATGTTTTAGTAAATAGTAGAACTGACATTAAGAAAAAAGGTTTCTGGTTCAGAGGCTTGTGTACTTTCTCCTGAATCATAGCGTTCTATAGAACTAGGGCAAGAAGATAGTGTTTGCCAGTTAGTAGCATAGCATATGTATCTTTACCATTGCTTTGAATTTTGACTTTGGAAATAATCACTATTTACTGTCTACGCTCTGATTTTCAAGTAGATTTTAAAGACTTGGCAATTTATATCCCATAGAGTTATAACACTTAAAATGCTTGGAAAGAAAGGGTCTTTTCATTATTATTTTTATTTATTATGATATTACCATTTTAATGTACTTTATCATTTTTTATTTATTAACATTATCATTAATTTTTAGAAGATTTTATTTCTTTCTTTGCCAGGTGGGGAGGGGGAAGGGAGGAGAAAGAGAGGGAAAGAAACATCAACGTACAAGGGAGGCATCAATGGGTTGCCTCCCGTACTCCCCCCAACTCGTGCTGGCCTGCAACCCAGGTGTGTGCCCTGACTAGGAATCAAGCTGGCGACCTTTTAGTTCACAGGTTGGCACTCAGTCTACTGAGCCACACTAGCTATGGCCATGTCATTGTTATTTTAATCAGACATTATATTAAAGCCACATTTCACATGTTAAAATGGAAGGAGAAGGGGAATTCAGGGAAATAGAAAAAGTAGGCCGGAATTTATACATTCAAATGAATGCTACCTTTCTTAACAGTGACCTTGGGAAGCTATATATACTAGCTGCCTTTGCTCAAAGTATCCATTGGATCTTGTATTTTAAATCATGGCTTCATGATTTTATTTGCATCTGTACAGATGTATATATTCAGCATGAAAGACGTATCTGTTCAACATGAAAATATTAGTGAACTTAGTAGTTTAGTTGTTGGATTTACATTATACCAATAATTAGTTTTGAAAACATTTTTAGGTAGTGTATGTAGGCTGAACAGCAGAATTGTTTTTATGAGTATTATTGTTGATTATATTGATAGAATGGGTTATCTTTGGATTAATGATTGTTTTTTTTCCCCCTAGTCAGCAGATAAGCAGCGAGCCCTAGAAGAAACCAAAGCCTATACCACCCAGTCCTTAGCAAGTGTTGCCTATCTGATAAATACCTTGGCGAACAATGTACTGCAGATGCTGGATATCCAGGCATCCCAGCTACGAAGGATGGAATCTTCAATCAATCACATTTCACAAGTGAGACCACACTATTTTCCTATTTTGTTTTGAGGAACACTTAATAAACACAGGCAATCTGTGATGCTGGCAGTCTTTATTATGTGAGCTAACTCATGTATGAGTTAGAAAATACAAACTCATTATTACAAAATCAGCGTTTTATTTTTTCTATCTTGTTGTGGAGTGATTATCTTCCCTGTGATTTTGGTGGGGAAGTAACTTGTAATGGTTTCTATTAAAACTCAGTTGTCATGTTAAAGTAATCAACCTTGAGGCCCTGGCTGGATGGTTCAGTTGGTAGGAGCATTGTCCTGTATACCAAAAGGTTGCGGGTTGGATTCCTGGTCAGGGCACATACCTAGGTTGCATGTTCGATCCCTGGTCATGGTGCATATGGGAGGCAATCAGTGTTTCTCTCTCTCTCCCTCTCCAAAAATCAATAAACATATCCTTGAAAGAGGATTTAAAAAAAAAAAAAAAAAAAAAAAAAAGAACAGAAAATCAGCCCTGTGGTGAAAATTTGTCTCATTTCTTCCAACTTTTTGCAAATCACACTTTTTATTATCTTTTTAAAAATATAAATGTGATAGCTGTTGGTAGGATTTTTTGTTTACCAGCATGGTACCATACCTAAATAACAGAAAAGAATAATCTAAGTAACCTTATAAAATTACCTTTATATAGAACTTTTAAAAAATCAGTACTCTACTTTTTTATTGTAAAAGTCATGCTCACTAGTATAGAGAGAAAGAGAAATAAACATACAAACAAACCATTTGCTTACTACTCAAGCTTTTCATTATAACTGTTTTGATAGATTTTTTCCAATACTTTTTTCTTTTAAATAGTTTTAAAAATGTAGTTGTGATTGTATTATGATTAGAATTTAGGGTTCTGCTTTTTTACTATTACAACAAACATCTTTCCATGATTTCATAAGCTCTTCATAAACATTTTCAGTGACTGCATACTGTTGTACGTATATATCATAGCTTTCCTAACCATTTCTATTATTTTGAGGCCGTTTAAAATAATTCTGCAATGAGAAGCCAATTTGTAATTGCAAAATGCACTTTTCATAACATTAAGAAAAAAAAAAGATTTTGATCTGTTTATCCTTTATGACATCTTTTCAGCTTTTTTATTTTAGCACTCATCATTTGAATAGCTTGGGTAGTAATCAACACCCTTAATAATCCTCATGCGAGGATGTGTTTTTTTTTAATTCTTTTAGAGAGAGAGGAAGGAATGAGACAGACACACACATTGATCATTTGCCTCCTGTACCTGCACTCTAGGTATGTGCCCTTACCGAGAATTGAACCCACAAGCTTTTGGTGTATAGAATGGTGCTCCAAGCAGCCTAGCTACCTTGTGAGGGCCAACACCCTTTTTAGATCCAGATAATTAAAAAGAGCTTTAAAATGGGCATATTGTCTTAAATTATCTTTTAAAATATATCTTTAGAGTTTAGGATGCTTCTGACATTGAGTAATCCAACAAGTTTTCAAATTCTAAAGTTTAATTTGTGAAAGTAAATCAACTATAGGTCAGATAATTGAATCAGATAAAGATTTCAGTTATATTTGTGTTATAAGAAAATTCATCAGATTGATTTAGAGGAATCTCTTATTTAATATTATTTAATTTTAAATCTGAATTTGCCACTATAAGGATTTCTTTCACCCATATAAACTTCTATAGACACCGAGTAATTTATTGTAGGTTGTATTGCCATGTCTCTTAAACAAAACAATACACAACAAAACCAAAAACCCAGAAAACAACAGCAAAGAATTTGTGAGTTTTAATGAGTGAGAGGTAAAATTCATTCTGAAAAGTAGAAACAGTAAGTGTAATTTTAAATGATTAAGTATGTGATCAAATCGTTTTCTATAGAAGGAGGGATATTGACTAATAATCTGATTTCATAATTTCAAAGTTATACTTGAGAGATTTAAAGTTTCTGCATGGTTAAAGTCTTAGCAAAGGGCCCAAAAAGATATTAAGAAGGAACTGCAAATGTGGAAGAGAAATAATATATAATAGTTTCTAAAAAGGAGGGACAATTTTTTATAGTTTGTGGGAGTAGGAGAGATTGTGGGGGTAAATGATGACAACAAGCACATGACAATGAAAGATAATCATCTATTTCCTGATTAGAATCCAGTATTTATTTGGTAGAGAAATGTAGCATTAAGAAGGAAGGTGAATAAGTCTACTTTAGGTTGTAATTATGTGTATTAATTCATCTAATGAGAAAAATTTTTTGAGTATCACATAAATTTATATTTAATTTATATGGTCCAATTAGTACTATCTTTTAAAGCTATTCTACTGGATTAAATAAAGCACAGTAGAGATGAATGGATAGAGATTAGTAGGTCAGAAATAACAGGGGCCTGAGTCAGAGCTGTCAAGCATACAAGTATGTTGACATCTTCATCTGGAGTTGAGTGTTTGGGAGGCAATATCTGAAGAGGTAAGGGATCTATAACTGTATAGCAGCTGTTAAGTTTATACAAAACAGTATGTTGGGTGAGGGATTGAATAGGAAAAATGAGCAGATGGAGGCTATATTTATGGAATAAGAAAATTTTTAAAACATGTATTTTTTTAACATTTGTCTTAAGGATTGAAATTTTTTCAATTATATTTAATGCACAGATAGAATTCTTTATTTATTTTTAAAGATTTTAAAAAATTATTTTTATAGAGAAGGGAAGGGAAAGAGAAAGAGAGGGAGAGAAACATCAATCTGCTGCCTCTTGCACACACCCACTGGGGACCTGGCCTGCAATCCAGGCATGTGTCCCAACTGGGAATCGAACTGGTGATGGTGACTCCTTGGTTTGCAGTATGATGCCCAACCCACTGAGCCACACTAGCCAGGGCGAATTCTTTGTTTTAAAAGTCAAGTGAACGTTAAAAATATTGGATGCTCTTTAGACTGAAAGATTATTCTATAGTTTTTAAGAGAAAATATTTTCTGTTTATAAAGCAAATACTCAGTAAATATTCTAAAGCAAGGATTGGCAAACTTCTTCCATAAAGGGACAGATAAGCCCTTTCTGGTATGGCTCAATGGATTGAGTGTTGTCCTACAAACCGAAAGGTCACTAGTTTTATTCCCCCGTCAGGGAACGTACCTAGGTGGCAGGCCAGGTCCTTCGCTGGGGGCACATGAGAAGTAGCTGATCCATGTTTCTCTCATGCATCGATGTTTCTCTCCCTCTCTTTCTCCCTCTCTCTAAAATACATAAATAAGTAAAATCTTAAAAAAAAAAAGGGGTGGGGACAGATAATATTTTAGGCTTTCTGGGCCACATGTGGTCTCCTATTGTTCTTTGTATATGTATGTTTTTAAACAACTGTTTATTTACTAATTTTTAAAAAAGATTTTATTTATTTTTAGAGAGAGGGGAAGGGAGGAAGAGAGGGAGAGAAGCATCAGTGTGTGGTTATGCACGCCCGCTACTGGGGACCTGGCCCACATACCAGGCATGTGCCCTGACTGGAAATCGGACCTGTGACCATTTGGTTTGTAGGCTGACCATTTGGTTTGTAGGGCAGCACTCAATCAACTGACCCACACCAGCCATGGCTAAACAACTTTAAAAATGTAAAAAACCATTCTTAGCTTGTGGGCCTTATAAAAAAGCAGACTTGGGCCAGATTTGGCATGTAGGCTGTAGTTTTCAGGTTCTTGCTCTAATATATTTTTTTCCCCAAATGCTTGGTACTTAAAAACTTATTACTATTATACTTTATTAAAAACATTATTATGTATTTAGAGGGAACCAGAAGGTTCTTAAGATATCTCGAGATTAGATTTTTTTTTTTTTGCAATTTGGGCAAAATGTTTGGAGAATTTGGAGATCAGAATGAGTTGAAGAAGCAAAGAAGTGAAGCTTTAGTCAGGTCAAAGATGAGACCACATGCTTTTTGGAATGGTAGTACGCGTCAAGAGTTATCATAAGGGTTGTCTGGAAGAGTGGTTCAGGACCAGCTGATATTATATATCTGAGCTATTTGATTTCTTTTCTTATCAGTATCCCTTTCCTATCTCCTTACCACATTTCAGCCTCCTAGTGCTCTAGCTCTGTTCTCCATTTTAGGGGAAAGGAGCACTGAGTAGGATTGGGAGGGAGGAAGGCAGGGGATCTGGGTTTCACCATGGTTCTTCAGCTGACTTGGGTGGCATTTGGCTTCTTTGAACTTCACTTTTCTTACGTGTAAAATGATAGGACTGATTAGATGGTTTCTGAGCTTTCTTCTATCTTGAATCTTTATTCTTCTGAGATTGCCAAAAATAATACTTGATTTGTATTTACTTTCTGTTCTGTTGGCTCTGCTGTTCACTTCAGTCTGTGCCCCCTGACATCAGCCATCTATCATTCTGCTATAACTGAACTATTTCCCTGAATTTGATTCTAAGGATGAGAATTCCATTGACCCTATCAACAACTATGCATCAGGGAAGAAATACTTAAAAAAAAAAAAAAGAAATAATAACTCATTCTTTAAATGTCAGACATTTTGAAATACAAGACAGAATTGATAATGAATATTTAGTATCAGATACCTTTTTTTACAAAAAGGGCAATATAGTATTAAGTAGTATACTAATTTATATTACACTCACCATGTCCATATGTAAGTACAGGCATACCGTATTTTATTGCACATTATTGCTTAAAAAACCCCCAAACAAACCCACATTGAAGGTTTGTGGCAACCTTGTATCATCAAGCAAGTCTATCAGTGTTATTTTTCCATGTAGGCTCAGACAATGATTAGTATTTTTTTTTTAGTAATAAAGTATTTTTTTAACTAAGTTTGTACATTGTAGATATAATGCTGTTGCACACATAATAAACTTCAGTATAGTGTAAACATACTTAATATATGAACTGGGAAACCAAAAAATTCATGTGACTCACTTTATTGTGATACTCCCTTTTTATGGTGGTCTGGAACTGAACCTGTAATATCTCTGAGGTATGCCTGTAGTAGGA